CTTAAGATGGTAAAATGCAGATCTGGCAGTGGCTGCCACCTGGGCCTCCATCATTAAGGAGGGATCCAGGAGCACTCCCAAACTCCTAACCTCCGACGCTGGCACCAACGAACGACGGGAGAGGGATCCCCAACCCCAAACCACGTCGACTCAAGCACAGGACCTCCGTCTTCGCTGGGTTTAGTTTCAGCCGGCTCAGCCTGAGCCACCCAGCCACAGCCTGTAACGCCCGGTTCAGGTCTTCTGGGTCGGAGCCCGACCAGCCACCCAACATCAGATAGAGCTGGGTGTCATCTGCATATTGATGACAACCCAGCCCATAACTCCTAGCAATCTGGGCGAGGGGGCGCATGTTCTCTGTAACGAGGGCCAACTTGCCTCTATCAACTATCAATTCTTCTAAAGCTCAACACCCTCCATGCCAAGGTCTTCTGGTTTCTCCAGCTGCTTCAGGGCCAACACATGGTTTGGTAGTGCTCACAAATGATGTTATTTCTTAGTGCTAAAATCTGGAGCTAATTTGGGTTCAGCCATAGAAGTAACTGGGATTAGCTCCTAATCACTGAGTTAGTGGTATGTCTGCATTCATTTTCATCTTGTTCCTAGGACGGCTTTGTGAGGCTTCACATAAACAGCAGTACATAGCCTTCAACTATATTTGGGAGGAGTTAAAGCATAGTACGTGCTCTAGAGAGCTGAGAAGTCAGCCTGTACTTCCAGGAGCCCAAAAGGCATCAGTTGGTTGAAAAAATAACTGCCACTGATGATTAATTCTCTCCCCTTTCTAAAGCATCATAGAGACCAAGAGCATTTAACATATCATCCAGACATTGCCCTTAATTTAAGGGTTTAACATAAGATTTACACACCTCTTTTTTCGCATCCCTCTTAGCCTTTATTTGTTCATATTCTTCTTTTGCTTTCTGGTTTGAAGTTTTTGTTTTATGCCTTCTCTTTGTGATATTGTTGCTGGGTAGACAAGAATTTAACAAACAAAAATCAATGACTTGGAAAGAAGCTTGTACGTTTTTTCAAATATACTTGAATTGGAAGTTGCATTACAGAAGTCCATTCTGTATTATCCAAGATTCAAAATGACATTCTCCCAATCTAGAAAAAACATAATAGATTTTGACCAGCAGGACAAACTTAGAAAGAAGTCCTGAGCACAATACTTGAAAGTAAATACCACTAAGTCAATGTAAATGTCTAAGCAAGCATAACTGTACCAGACTTAAATTCAATTACTATTTTAATCCTTGTTCCATCCTAAAAAGATCTTGCTCAGTAACAAAGTATTTTTAGAATCTTTTTGCTGGTCAGTTGTTTGACAGATTGAAGAGCCAGTATTATCTCAAGCAAAGTTCTTTATTTAAACAATTTTTTTTTGCAGCAAATGAGTTTGTGATGATATAGTGCAGGTATACATCTATCTCTCTTAATTTAAATCCACAGCTATGAAAGAAATTTTAAGTCAGCAAAGAAATGAATTAACTCTTGTAAAACAGCTTGAAAAAATGAACAAAATCTTTGTTAACTAGGAAGGTGTGATGGAAAGGTTAGGGGCCTTTCCATAAGAATGACCACTGAGAGATGATGGAATGTTGGTGAGTTGACAGTTGGAAAACAGCAGTTGGGAGTTGGCAGCTAGGGAGTTGGCAGGGAAAAGAGTGCAACTGGCAGAGTTAAGCTGTGCAGAAGAGCTGCTTCAGTGTTATGTTAATCCTATAAATAAAAGTCAACTTGTTTTGATTAGCCCTATGGGTTGCATGCCTACGGGAAAGAAATACACACACAATTTAGTACCTTGGTGCATGTCTGTACCTTTATATCTAATTCCCAACTGTGCCCCCTATGTATGGATAGCTATTTCCACAAATATGCGGCACATGGAGGGTGAAGATATGTTTCTACATGCTTGGAGCACTCCCCAGGTGTGCAGAAAAATCTTACATGTTTAAAAAATTATATAGGAAATATTTAAATTTCCCCAAAAGTAAAACTTACCATTGGGAACTATGGCGGAGGCTGGCAGTGGCAGCTGAGCTGCAAGGGATGTTGGTGGGGGTGAGCCACACAGAGCTTGCTGCTGCTGTTGGGGGAGGGGAGAAGCCTCAGCGGGCCCAGCAGCTGGGAGCCATGTAGAGCTCACTGCCATTGCTGCTGTTGGGAGGGGGGAGAGAAGCCTTCGTGGGAGCCATGCAGGGCTTGCTGCCACCATAGTCAGCAATGGGGGGGGGAGTCTTGATGGGCACACCAGTTGGAGATGATTTTTTTTAAAGAAGGGTGGCAAATGTGATGTCCTTCCCTACGTCTACCCTGAACCTGCGAAAGAAAAGTAGGTAGGGACATCACATAAATGCTTTTGATTCGGTCTCCAAATATGAATTTTTTCCTTAGCTAAAAGATTTGGTTGACCAGGAGTTTGTTGCTCAACACTTCTGAAAGTTAAATTATGGAGGACAGTCAATCATCTTCTTGTTTCTTTTTTAAAATATACAGAAAGCATTGACCATTTTCTCTCTCAGGTACTCTCACTCACAGGGACATCTACAGACAGGGTAGCCTAGCCCCCTTCAGTAACAGGCCATCACAAAGTTATCAGAGTTGGGGGGGGGGCTCAAACACGTCTGTGCACATGCTTCCAAATTTATTCATATCCTACACACACACACGAAATGGGGGCCTGCAATACTCGTGGGGGTAATTCTTTCCTCATTTTAATTACTCCCCCCCCCCCATCGCCGGCCTCCCTCCGGGCTGGCCATCTCTGGAGCCGTCTGTTCCACTTCCCCTTCCTCCTTTAAGGCAGGAAGGGGGTCCAAGGAGGAAGAGCCCCAGGAGAAGCCATTTGCCCGGGGAAGTGTCAGAGGGATACCTGCTGCAGCCGCACAGGTGTGTCTCAACCCAGCGTTACTGCAGCCCTTTAAAACTTGATTAGCCTGAGACTCTTCTTTGTTACCTTATCTTTTATTACGATACCATAAATCTGGGCATTCTTGTGGATGGCTATGGGTTCAATAGAAAGGGCAAATAGTTGGGGTGAGAGTGGACATCTCTGTCTGGTACCCTGTAATAATGGGAAATGTTTTGAGGACAGGTTATTTATTCAAACTTGGGCTACAGATGAAGAGTATAGGGCTTGAATTGTCCATAAAAAGCTTTCACTGAACTCCACGTGATGCAACAGTGAAATTAAGTAATTGGGTTTGAGTTCGTCAAACACTTTTTCTATATCAATCAATTGTATAAGAGACTCAGTTCATTTTTCCTTTTATAATTTATGATGTTAAGTGGTTTACAAATGTTATCTGCTATGTTGCGTTTCAGCATGAACCCAGTTTGGTCTTGATGAATGTATTGTGTGATGAATATATTTAGTCTGTTTGCTATGGTGGCTGTAAATATTTTAGCATCTTGATTTATCAGTGATATTGGTCTATAATTCTGGTCACCGTATCTCAAAAAGGCCATTGCAGAGCTGGAAAAAGTACACAGGAGGGCAACCAAGATGATTAGGGGGTTGGACTACCTTCCCTGTGTGGAAAGGCTGAAGAGTCCAGGACTTTTCAGTTAAGAAAAGAGATAACAAAGGGGGACACAAAGGTTTACAAAATTATGCATGAGTGGAAAGAAATGTTTTTCACGCTCCCAAAACACTAGAATTCAAGGGCATCCAATGAAGCGGATGGGCAGTAGGTTTAGGATGGACTTTACAAAAAGAGTGATTAAAATGTGGAATTTGCTGCCAGAGGATGTATTAATGACCACAGGAATAAACAGCTATAAAAAGGGGATTAGACAGATTCATGGAGGCTGTCTATCAATGGCTACTAGTCATGGCAACTGAGGGGAACTTCCACATTCAGAGGCACTAATTCTCTGCATCCCAGAGCAAGGAGGCAACACTGGGGAAGGCCTCAGCCTCTATGCCCTGTTGTTGGCCATCCAGAGGGACTGGTTGGCCACTATGTGAGACAGGATGCTGGACTAGATGGCCCATTAGTCTGATCCAGCAATGCTCTTTTTATGTTTTTCAGCACCATTATGCAACAGGACTGCAAACTGACAAAAATATGTAGCATTAAAAGGCTACTTATTATATTTTACAATATTTGTGTATTTATTCTTCCAAAGCACCTGTGAAGAAGTTCACCATTTTCTCATTTTACAGATGAAGAACACTGGCTGAATTAAAATAACCACACAAAAACCCAAAACCTAGCAGAACCTCAGATCTAACACCCCACTTGTTCTTAATGCAGCAATGTTATAGGCATCAAAGACAGTGATAATCCACATGCTTTGACCATTCAAAGCCGACACCTCAGTAAAAAAATTAAATTAAAAAAGCTGTGTAATAGTGTTGGGATATGTCTACTTAAAAACCCTAGACAGCAGTTGGTAACCAATGCCTTGGTAGGCATTCTAATGATACGACCGGTACAAGGCAGTTCTCCAAGCACAGAAGTCATTTCAATGAATTCACAAGGTAATTTATATTATGCACTAATATAAAAGAATAACTAAACTGTACTGAATGTCAGTTATCAAATGTAGCAGAGTTATGTTCACAAATTAGAAATTTGGATGAAGTGTAAACTTTAAGAAACAAAATTTTAAGCAACAGAACAATCTACATTTTCTCTATTTAACCATACTTTGATCCAAACACCCAATGAAAAATATAAAGCTCAAAAGAATAGTTTATTTACTATATTAAAAAAATCTAAGAATGTCACTCTAAGTAGAACAATTTTAACTAGATGACACCTGCCTTACACTGGCAACAGAATTACAATGAAATTACTTACTCAGCTGTACTGAAACTTGTTTCTTCCAATAGAAGAGGACCACTATTTTTAGGTTTCTGTTGTTTTTTAAGCATTTCCTCTTCAGCTAAATAAAGATGCTTCAAGTGTTCTGGGTAATTCTCTGTATACCCAACACTCTTCTGGGAATTAGCATATTTTTCTTTTTTCAATAACTTCTTATAATCACGTTGAATCTTTTGCTTTCTCCAAAAGGCGAATCCTTGTCCTGAAATCAGTAAAAAAATAAAATGCATCATAGCTTAATATCTTTCAGCTTGGAGAAGTTTTGGCACTATTGCAGCAATTAGGAGACAAAGAAGTCTTAAAAACTCATTTTCTAGAAGTATGTCCATTTTACTATTAGCAAAATTAAAAATATCTGAGTATCAGTCTGTAGTCATAGCAGCAAAAGGAAGCTATGAAAAGATCCAGTATAGCTACATATTATATGGTATTCTGCAAGGCCCTCCAGATACCCTATGAAGCTCTACAATATGCCTAGAGCTAACCCATTCAAAAATGGCTACTTGTAGTAATCACAACCTGTATGCGTACTTGGGGTTTAGCTACACCATTGCGGATCTAGTCTAATGTTAGTTTTACCACCTACAAAACTTGATTTCTTATTATTCTTTCATCACACAAGCTGGGCCATATTTGTCAAACCAAACTTTATCTCAGACCACAGAGATTTGGGGGTTATTTTACTTTGGTTTTAATTGGAACCATTTCTAAACTATTATTGTAAGCCACCTTGACCCACAGGGAAAGGCACAGTAAAAATGTTTTAACAAATAAAATTATTAGCTACCATATTAGAATATACAGTGCGACTATGTAGAAATGCATTTTCCTTTCCTAATGCATACCTAGTACCTTTTTTCCAATTTTTATTCTCAACAGAGAAATTATATTAAAAGCTGGCTTTAAGACAAAGATTACTGAAAATACAAAAACATGAACTGAATGCACCTTGGAAACATTAGCAGTATCATTGTTACATTAAGTTCTAGACTTAAACCATTCCCTTTAACATCTACATCTAAACTAGGCCTGATTTTAGAGGTATCAACAACTGAACCAATACTGGAATAGAAATTGGAGACACCCTCCCATGGCTATAAATTAGGCTAAAAAGCAGGAAACTTCCAGATCCAGCCTTTCACAAAATAAGGTTCATTTATACATACAATACAAATAATGTGCACATTAACCTATAATTAACCCAGCCTTATTATACATAAAGGTCCTGTTACTCCATAAGACATCAAAATTTCTACAGAGTGACCAATTTCACTAGATTATAAAAGCGGAGTACAGCAAATAAGTAAACACAAATTAACTGGGCAGGCTTTAGCAAACACAGTCTCAGCACCCTATTTATAAAATGAGGGCAACAAATGAAATTATGGCGGAACGCCTCAGCAAGCACGCTAATGATGAATCCCACTTCCAAAACAACTAGGATTTACTTTGATCATGATGGGAATCTTGTTAGTCTACCTATAGCAGTAGCCCCTTTCTAGGGATGTACTAAAAGGAAGGGCAGCATTGCCCATTGGAAACAATAGGAGACACTTGAAGGTCCATTGAAAATAATGGGAGTCAGAAATGCCAACTGACTTGCATGGGCTCCATTGAAATACATTACAGTACAAGTAGAGTTCAAAAGAAAATGTGGAATGGATTTTCCATTAGGGTCTCTGGGCAAAATAGACTATCTGGGACTGGAATGACAGCCCCAGGGGGGAGCAGAAGCATTCTAGGACTGGAATGACAGGCCCCAAAGTGGAATGACAGTCCCAGGGGGTAGAAGTGTTCTGTGACTAGAATTAGAGACTACGAAGTGGAATGACAGCACCTGGGGGTAACAGGAGTATTCTGTGAATGCAATGAGAGACCACATAGTGGAATGACAGCCCCTAGGGGTAGCAGAAGTATTCTGGGAATGGAATGACAGATCCCAGATTGGAATGACAGCCCTTGGGTGTCGCAGGAGTGTTCAAGGACTGGAATGAGAGACCACGGAGTGGAATGACAGCCCTGGGGGTAGCAGGAGTGTACTGGGGCCTGTCATTCCAGTCTCAGAACACGCCTCCTGCCCCCAAATGGTGTCATTCCACTCTGGGGCCTGTCACTGCAGTCCCAGAACACTCCTGCTACCCCCTGGGGCTGTCATTCCACTCTGGGACCTGTCATTCCAGTTGCAGAGCACTCCTGCTACCCCCAGGGGCTCTCATTCCACTCTGGGGCCTGTCATTCCAGTCCCAGAATATTCCTGCTACTTCCTGTGGCTGTCATTCCACTCTGTGGTCTCTCATTCCAGTCCCAGAACACTGTTGCTACCCCCAAGGACTGTCATTCCAGGTTGTGGTCTCTCATTCCAGTCCCAGAACACTGTTGCTACCCCCAAGGACTGTCATTCCAGGTTGTGGTCTCTCATTCCAGTCCCAGAACACTGTTGCTACCCCCAAGGACTGTCATTCCAGGTTGTGGTCTCTCATTCCAGTCCCAGAACACTGTTGCTACCCCCAAGGACTGTCATTCCAGGTTGTGGTCCTTTCGATTACTTCGACCACGTTTAGCTGCTTGCTGAAAACTTGTAAATGACGCAGATTAAGCTGGAGGTACACAGCAAAGGGGAGGGACAGAGGCTACGCTAGCTGGTCTTGGTGGGAATTCAAGGCGACAGCCATACCTCGGGGGGGGGGATTACTTACCCTCCTGGACGTTCCCTCTCACCGCACATGGATCTTGTCTCCATGGCTGTTTCCGACCACGCTGAACTGGCAAATTCTGCGCTCCCACATTCCTCTTTTGGCCCAAAGACTCTCTCCTCCTTACTACCGGCGCCATCAGGAAGCCACGTCGCAGCCCACCTACGTCGTCAAACACACGCCTACTGATCAGCCGAAGCTCGCTTTCTGATAGGAGAGGTGGGAAAAGCCTCTCTCGGTGTTTGATTCCTGTTGTCTGAGCAGAAGCAGCACGAGAGATACCAGATGCTCTGCGTTTAGAGATAGTCTCACACCGTAACAAAAAGGCCACCTAAATCAATCGCCGAATTAGCAGCGCCCCTGGGACTGGCAGGAGGACGATCCTTCCGACTTGCTTATGTCGCAGAGTGCCCACGACGCTACGGCCATCGCCAAGGCCGACGAGCTGCTTCTTCTGGCGCCGTCTGCGGAGGCTGTTAGGACGCGCGTGCGGGCTGTGGCCCAATTTCTGCGGCGAGTGTTGCCGCTGTGCCGGGCCCACACGGTGGAGTTTTTTACGCGCGGCTTGTGGGAGAAGATGGTGGCGCTTCCTCCGGAGACAGTGTTGGATGCGTTGAGTGGAGAGAGGCTTCAGCAGCTCCTGGAAGAGCCACCTCCACAGCGATCTCTGGAGGAGGCCGCCGGTAAGAGTCTTTCAAGGGTCTGAAGCAGATTGGCTTGGCTCGGATGGGGTTGGGATGGTCCTGCTTTGTGGCCAGCGGCCCTCAAGGGTTTTTCTGGCAAAGTAAATAGCTATGCTGGTCTTGGCTGTGAAGGGAGGAAACAATTTTAATGGTTTAAATATTTGCATTTTTTTTTTAAAAAAACTGCTCACCACAGAGTAAAATGGATGTGAAAGTAGAAAGCATCATAGAAATACCTGTCTCGCCCTCTATATAGGAAGGATTACACTCTCCTAAAATGGTTGCTGAATCTTTTTGAATTTTTGTCCTTCTTCATGCTTTTTGAGCTGTACAGATTTGTACAGTTACTGTTATAATTAGCGTCCTTTTCAACAGTAAGTCAAAAGGTGAATTTCTGAAAGTATTAAGGATATAGATTCAGGCATTTTAGAGGTTTCATTTAGGACCTAATGACAGGCAAACAAGATTTGATTGTTCCAGGTGCTGACAGACCTTTTTTCAGTTAGTTTGTCATGGTGTTTGAAGTAAAGGCTTTCCGATACTTTTAAAAACGCGAATACCTCAGTTTTCCGTGAGAGCCTCACCATGGCTGATAAAAAATGCACAAGAGATTTTAAAATAAACAGCATTAAAATTTATGAGATTACATTATTTAAAAGGAACTTCACTTGCTAGGGACAAATTCTCAGGAAAACAATACAAAGAACACATACAGATAAACCAAAAGCATTTTGGAATAAAGTATTCTTTCCAGAATACCCAAAAGTTATGCTCTCCTAAGGGACACCAATCCACAAGGTAGGAGTAGCCACTGAGAGAGCCAAGATTGAGGCAGAAAAACAGCAAACACTCCTGGAGAGTAAAACCGTAAGCAGAACCTGCTGCTGGGAAGAATCATGCTAGTGGCATATGCCTTCAGGTGGAGAGAGACACCACTCAGATAAATTGGCCCCAGGCTGCATAAGTCTGTACTGATAAAAAACCAGCAACTTTGACAGAGCCTAAGAATGAAAAGGTTACCAATGGACATGCTTCAGAACAGATATGTTTGGTTGATTTAGCACCCAGTCAATAGAGGCACAGCCTCTGTTTGTTGTTCTGTTGTAGCTTGCAAGTTTCTTTTAACTGCAGTCCTACGTAAAGTGTGTTCCAGTAGTGCAACTTGGATATTATTGTAGCATGGATCTGTTTAGGTCAGATTGGCTTATTACAGAAGGGGTGCTAACTTCTGAGCAAGTTGAAAGAAAGCATTCTTGAACATGTTTTTCTGTCAGCAAGGTAGGTTCTAGAATATCCCCGAACTCCTAACATGGTTGGTAAAAGTTTTATCCCATCTATGGTAACTTATTACTTCCATCTACCAGTGTCACTTTCTGTTAGACCTCTGTCTTGTCTGCTTTAAGATTCAGCTTGTTCTCCTTAGCTGTGGTCTTCATCCATCAGTTTTGCACAGAGACAGCTGCTTCTGGAGGTTTTGTTATTTAAGGCTAGAGCTGGGTATTGTTAGTATATGGATGGCATGCAGTCCCAGAGCTCTGGGCAAATGCATTCAGTGACCTAAAAAAAAGTTGCATGAGGGATGATATGGCTTGGGAAAAATTCTCTCCACCAAAATGCATTTATAATTTTTGAAACTGGAAGTCTCACTTTCTTCTGCCATGACTTTCTTAATCTGGGGGGGCAAGCAATCTAATTGGTCCACATTTTTTGAAGAAGAAGGAAAAGACAAAAAACAACCACAGCTACTTGGTTCCCACCAGGACAAGGATCTTGACTTCAGCCCCTTTATCAGATCAGGAAAGGAAGTGCAAAGTCAGTAGTGTTTATGTTCATAGTGATGGTCATCCTATATGCCGTAACATGATACAAGTGCATGTTCCAGTGATTCTAAATGGTACATTTGGTTATGTCTTCTTCACACATTTAAATCTTGATTTCTCAAAGCTTTAACTTTAGAACAAGTTAACCAGTATATTTTGTCTTTGAAAGAAATCTATCAAATGTAGTCCCTACTCACTGTATCCCATTTTCATTTTCAGTAGCCTGTTTTCTTCATGATGATTTTCGTGTCACTATGTCTTATTTCATAAAACAAAGCAATATTGCTGATTAAATTCCTTACTGCTTAACTTGCTTTAGCAAGTGTGAGCCCTACAGAGTTTGCTGCAGACAGATCTACTTAAGGATTGGGTTTTTGCTTTTTTTAGACTCTGGAACATGTTATAGAGCGGTAACTCTCTTTGGTATTATCTTATCCTTTAGAGATAATTTGACTTCTTTTTTTTTTACTGTACTGGCTAAAATAATCTCACGATGATGATTTCCAATCTTTTTAAAGTCTTCATCTTGTTCCTTTATGTTCTTAGATCAGATCTTAATTAACATTCAATCCAGATAAATGAAAGAAGCAAAAGCAAATATGTACACTTTTTAAAAATTACATGGTATTTTACACAAGGAAGCTCATTCTTCCCAGAAATTGAAGGTTTTGTGATAGCCAGTTGCATATTTGCCTGACACAGACTTATAAGTTCTAGCAGTCTCCAGCTGTGACTCTGTCTCCGCTTATCAGAACTCACAGCATGGTATGCCAAACGTGATGAAATCTATTTGTGTGTATCCAGTTTCTCTTGGTTTCTCTTTGAAGTTAAGGGATCTTTCCTACCTATCCACACCAATTAACTATTCCCTAGTTGGTCTGTCTTGATTTTTGAGTATAAGAAATGAGGCAGCAAAAGGGTTATTTCTCATTTCATGTTTCACAATGTGAAAATCTAAAGTGCATCTGATCACAAATCTAGATTTGTGTTCCTTTTATATAAGGCTACATTGTTAGGCTCTCCCCATTCCTTATTTCAGTATTTACCTTTCCGCTACTTCTTAAGTTTGCTGCCTTGCATTTTTGTTAAAACAAAGTAAAACCCATTTGAGCTATATCATAGTAACATATAGGAAAGCAATAATAATGATCATTGCTATAAGTTGATAAAATGTTAACATTTTAACTGTTAAAGCAGTAGTATTGGGCAAATAGATAAGTTGTCTAAACTAACAGAATTGTAGGGTGGTAAACAATTAGAAATTTATATTCCTCCCTCTATACCATAATGAAGCAAGATTTGTTGAGATCCAGGGATATTATCACTCAACTAATACTGAACCCCAGCAGTCTGCACAATACCAAAATTACCTTGTGTCGCTTTCAGTATATAATGTATCTGAAGAAGTGAGCACAAAAGCTCATATCCTGCCACATATTTTGTTAGTCTTTAACGTGCTACTGGACTCTTGCTCTTTTCTACTGCTAAAGCCAGACTAACATGACTATCCATCTTGATATAATGTAGAATTTTTTTTACCATGCCCTCCTTGCGATGAGTATTTGGGAACAGGATGAGCACTTAAATTTTTCTTCATATGTGGGAAGTTCCCCAAGTGAGCAGTGCCCCTTAACTTTTCTATGTTGCTCTGTTTTGCTGTCCTGTTGAAAGCAAATTTGACAATCATGTGCTTGTTATATATTGAATGGGAAAAGTAGGTTCCACACACCCATAGCATCCATAGGCTTATGTCTGTTTATATGCTTATGTTGAATTATTGTATATATACTTTATTTTAAATGTTTTTAATGCTGAAATGTTTTATGTTTACTGTCTTGGGGATCCCATGCAGCATAGAAATGTTTTAAATAAAGGCAGCATAGAAATGTTTTAAATCTATATAATAATTGTGTTTTGGGGTGGCCCTTTGCAGCTCTCCCATTGGCCATGCAATGCACTCCCTCAGCCATTGGGCTGTCAGCCGCCACTCAAGAGTACTCGTGTGCCATTGGCCGGGTGCTGGATCTGATCCTCTTCTCCACCCACTCCCCTTCAGCCACTGTGTTCTGTCAGAATTACTCGCAAACGGCTTTTTCTCTTGACGAAGACACTTCTCTTGCTTGCCTCCTGTGTGGGAGTAACTTTTCCCTCAGTGGCTGTTGGTAGGTGTAACGAAATGGCAGTTACCTGTGTTTGTAAGATGGCTGCCATGTGGTTGTTTGTTTAAAATGTTCCCCCATAAGGTTTAATTGAGCTGTAGTTCCAGAGAGGAGCCTGCAGGGGTATCACTCACTGGGTTGAATGGGGCTTCCTCATATGCTGGTCTACAGTTCCCAGCTGCCCCAAGGCCGAAAAGTGCAGGAAAACAGGGACTGTCCCAAGGGGCAGGGCAGCAAAGACGATTGTGTGTGTGCTTACTCCTACAGTTCTGCATCATTCATTTAGTGTGTGTGCTCCATAATTGTGTAAATCTCTATATAATGGCCCCGGTCACACGGGCAGGAAACTGCAGAGGAGAAGCGTGGCTGTTTGCCCTGGGGCAAACTACTGCGCAGTTACGTGATCAGACCTCCTGTGGAGGTACTGTGGAGGTTCCATGGCAAGGGAGAGGTTCCGATCACAGGACAAGCTGGCGCACAACGAAGAAGCGTGCGCCGCAGCAAACTGTTTTTTATTTTTGTGTACATGACAAATGCGCATGCTCCGTTGGGTGCGCATGCGCATCCACAGAGACTTGGACAAAAAAACCCCACCTTATTTGCAAGGGGACATGGGCGGGCGCCGGATGCCACCGGAAACACGATCAGACGCCCGCCCTTGCCCCGCAGTTTCCGGAAACTAGTACCTCCAAGGTACTAGTTTTTTGCCATGCAGTTTCGGCTGGAAGCCTCGGTTGAGCCACGGGAGTGCTACGCTTCCCAGATGTGCTGGTGAGATGGCGCCCGGAAACTCCGGCTGTTTTCCATCTCACTTGTGTGGCTTCTGTTACGTGTGACCGCAGCCAATAATTCTCTTAGCGTATTGGCCATTTCTAGCTCTCCCATTGGCTGTGCAGTGTGGTTCCATCAGCCATTGGGCCATCAGCCGCCACTCAAGAGTACTTGTGTGCCATTGGCCGGGGGCTGGGTCTGCTCCTGTTCCCCACCCACTCCTACTGCAGCCACCTTGCCTCTCAGGATAACTGGCAGATGGCTCTCTCTTCCTTGACGAAGACACTTTTGCTGCTTCCCTCAGTGGCTGCTGGTAGGCAACCAAGCTTGGTTCAGTGTAACCCCATCCTCTGCCCACTCCCAGCTTGGCCACTTTCCTGTCAGAATAAACTGAAAACTCTCTTCTGCTTGGGTCCACTATGGCTGGCTGGCTAATGAGGTGGGCCAGCGGCCATCAAACCATTCTCTTCAACCCCCTGCTGTGCAGCTTTTCCCCTAGCGTGTCCGATTCCCCATGCATTCGAAATAAATCCACGTTTGAAGAACAAAGTTAAATTTATTATAAAGCGATGGTTAGATCAGGAACACAAGAATTGTTAGGAATGACTACAGACCCCATAGGGAAACATAATAAAGGAACTTGAACCAGGTTAGGACCAATGAGTCCAATTCCCGCTGGCGGGAATGCAGATAAAACTAGCGCCCAATTCCTTGGGAACACAACGGTTCTACAACATAAACACAAGTTCAGTTCTCAGGCATGAGATACATAATAAGCAAAGCAACGCCATAACTCCATCCCACCTCCAGCTGGTTGACCTTGAGCAGTTCCGCAGATGTAGCAAGCAAAAGACAGTAAACACCTACACAGGAGGATACGGGGGAGGGGGGGGATGGACAGAGCACAATGTAATATATGTAGAAAAGAACACACCATCCTATGGCAGCTAGCTGACATAGGGTTGCCAATCTCCAGGTGGGACCTGGAGATCACCTGCTGTTACAATTGATCTCCAGATCACAGAGATCACTTCCCCTGGAGAAAATGGCTGCTTTGGAGGGTAGCCCCTATGGCATTATACCCTGCTGAGTCTTTCTGACCCTGCCCAATGCTGCCCTCCACAGGATCCACCCCCCAAAAAACTTAGAGCTGGCAACCCTACTTTTCCCTCAGTGGCTGTTGGTAGGCAACCAAGCTTGGTCTTGTCACCTATTTTGGCCTTTGGGAGAAAACTCATTGGGGCCAGTCCTGATAGGGTTTCCAACTCCAGGTGAAAAATTCCTGAAGATTTGAGGGATGGAGCCTGAAGAGGGTGAGGTTTCAGGAGGGGTGGGACCTCAGACAGGTACAATGCCATAGACTCCACCCATCAAACCAGCTTCCATTCTGGGGAACCATTGTTATGGTTCCATCCTGGGGAACCATTGATATACAGGTGAGGGCTGGAGACCACTCAGAATTACAACTGCTCAGCAGGAGGGAGGGCAGAAGTCAGCTGAAGTCAGAGGGGCAGATAACGGTAGGTTGATGGTTAGTTGGGAAGGAGATGGGGTTTCCAACTCCAGGTTGGCAAATTCCTGTGGATTTTAGGGGTGGAGCCTGGAGAGGGTGGGGTTTGAGGACGGGTTGGACCTCAGACAGGTACAATGCCATAGACTCCACCCTCCAAACCAGGTGAGGGCTGGAGATCACTCAAAATTACAACTGCTCTTCAGGTAGCAGAGATCAGTTCCTCTGGAGAAAATGGTGGACTCTGTGTCATTATACCCTGCTGAGGTCACCACAGCAAATTGACACTGTGTGCCCAAAGCCAGGGCACTCTCCCAGAGCCTCTTTTTAGATCTCGTTGTATTTATTTCCACAACGGGCCTTATTCCTAGTAAATAAATAATGACAGCTATTTCTTCCTTTGTGCCACACATCTTTGAGGGATATTTGACCTAGCTTATTGTGCAGATTCTGTGATTAAAATTACAGTATGAAACCATGTAAGATCAGTTCGTGAAAACAGATCTCTTTACATGAATATTTCCATATATTGGTGATAGTTCTCTTGAACTGTGTCACACTCTTCTTGCTATTAATAAACAACTATCCCTCATCTTTCCATACAGATGGCTGTGATTTCCCAGACATTTTCTGTGAAAATTCTCAGAAATTGGTCAATGTGCGTGCTTTTGCTCTGGCCGCCAAGTACTACTCCATGCCAAATCTTGGAGTGTGTACCTCTTTAGAAGACATGCTTAAAGCATTGAACTGCCAACAACAGCCAAGATCTGGTAAGTAATAATTTAATTTACACCACAATCTAAAGAAGTATTCCAGTGCTTTGCATAATGATGAGTCATATTCACTGTGCTGGCTTATACTTCTAAGCATTGTTTCTTCATCCCCAAGCCATTTATATGCAGGGTACAAAAATATTTGGAAAACGTATGAGCCAGGTAGGAGGAAACACCTGCTTCCTAAATTGTGAAGCAAAACCTGGTTCACTGACCAGGCTCAGTATGTTCGGTGCTAGTGACTCCTGGACATCTGGATTTTGCATCCCTGTTTGTATGGTTAGTTTTCTAGGTCATACCTTATTTGTTATCCTGAAATTTCAACTGCATTGACTTACATTTCCTTCCTGTTTGTAGAAGAGTCCCATTAGATTGAATAGGTGAACATAGAATCATCCATGTGTCATCTTCATAGGAAATTTGGCTCTTTTTTTCTGTTTTAGCCAACAAAATTTAGGCAACACAATATTCTGTTCATTCTGATATTACCTTTTTGGAGTGAGATGTAACATCAGATTTAAACAGTGAAATAGCTTCATAAAGTAGTCTGTTTGCTAACTCTTCTTTTTTGCATACATTAGTAAGCCATTTCTCTAACACTTATTCTTTACATTGTAAAGATATTATATATATCTACATATATAGATATCTTATTTATGTATTTAGAAAATTTATATGCCACCTCTCCAGAGACGTGTTCTCCAGTGATGTGTATAACCTTACAGCTTTCTCCTTAGTATTCACTTATTCTTGCTTGTTGGCACTGTGATAGTTCTTATATTTACTATTACTTTAGTCTGTGTAATCTACACATTTACTTAATTACGTAGAATTAAATATTCAAGTTATAACTCCTTGAATGTAATTACTTGCACTTCTGTCTTTTTTGCCTCAAGTTAATTTATATTTAATTTATAATCCATACATCTAGCTCTCTACAGTTTCTCATATAAATTCTGTGGAACTTCTGATTTTTTTTCCTTCAAAAGCAGCCGTTTGTCACTCCCCCCCCCATTTTTAATTAAAAGGGCTACACTCAGCTGCCATGACATGTAAAAACACAGCTTATTCTTGTGCTCATGTATCTCCTCTCTTCTACACTCCTTTCTCCAAGTGTATTGGAGCATGATTAAAAGTTTTCTGGCTTTGGGAATCCTTGAATCAAGCCAATGTGTGCCATGCCATTCACATGTGGGTGCTGGAGCAAATCAGAGCTTGTTTCCTCTTCACAAAACTATAGCTCAGAATCCCATTTTATGGGGATGACAGGTGGGTCAGTGCTGCTGTTATTGCTCGACTTGACAGCAGCATTCAGCACAGTGGATTACAATCTGCTAGTTTACCATCTCACCAGCATTGGAGTATGTGGGGAAGCCCTGAAGTGGGTTGCCTCATTTCTCCATGGTCGGGACCTTTAAGGCCCTAAACGGTCAGGGATCAACGTACGTACAAGACTGCCTCTCCTGGTATGTCCCGCACAGAGCATTATGCTCAGGAGACCAACATCTACTGGAAGTCCCTGGCCCAAAGAGCATCCAGCTGTCCTCAACCAGAGCCAGGGTCTTCTTGGCCCTGGCTCCAACTTGATGGAACTTTCTGCCTACTAACATCAGGGGCCTGTGGGACTTGTTACAGTTCCGCAGGCCCTGCAAGACAGAGATGTTCTGCCAAGCATATGGTTGAGGACAGCAACTGCTTTTCACCCTCTCCCCCTCCCCATTCCTAATGTAAATTGGGGGATCAGAACTTTGCACTACAACACCATGTAGAGGTTAGGTGTTATGGGATCTGTATTTTTAGATTATTTATTATATTTTATATGCTGTATTGTATTTTATATGTATTTTACAAGGGGGGGACCCGCGATACTCG